TCCGTTTCCGCCGTCATTTCCAGTAACCCAGTCATTGTTAGGGTTGTTTTCTGAGGAAGAGTACCAGGTACTTCCTTTCTACAGTTTTCTTTTTCCTTCTTTCCCAACCTTCTTTGAGTCTTTCCTGTTTTTTCCATGGCTGGAGGGAGTGGTGCTGGTTCCTCCAAGCCTGCCAAGGGTAAAGGCAAGGCGTGGGGCAAGGCGACGACTACCGGAACGGCCACCGCCGGGAAAAAGAAAGAGGTAGAGCCGCCAACGGACCTCGTTCCAGGTGTTCCTGGGTACGACTGGGTTCGGCGCGAGATGGCGGATTCCCAAAGCGTGTTCCGGTCCTTTCTTGAAGTTAATGCGATCTTGAGGTCGTATAGGGTTTGTGACCCTTCCATTTCCCGGATGATCCGGCTTGAACCTTGTCAGGCCGGTGAGGGCGTGTATATGGGGAAGTCTACTGACCCTCCCCATTTCTATGTTTACCAATGCTTCTTCAGGGATTTGGGCATTTGCCTTCCCTTCACACAGTTCGAGTGTGATTTCTTGAATTTTGTCAACTTGGCTCCATGCCAGTTGCACCCCAACAGTTGGGGTTTTTTGAGGGCTTTTCAAGTTTTGTGTTCGGCCCTAGGAATAGAGGTATCTCTTCGTGTTTTTCTTCATTTTTATCAACTCAAAATAGGCGTTTCGCCTTATGGCGTGCTGTCCCTGAGTGGGAGGACGGATGGGGGTTTATTTACTCTCTACTCCCAGTCATACAAAAATTACAAGCAAGAGTTCTTCCGGGTTGCCCTTGTGGATGTCGATCCCTTGGAGGACGGGGCGTTCTATTTCGGCGGGTTGCCGAAGTTCCCTTTTTATTGGTGCCGCAAATCGTCTAGGTTTCACGGGGTGGGCCAATTGAAATTGACGGCTTCGGAGGCGACCTCCATTGAGAATCTTGTTGCGCTTCCTCGCCCGCTAGATTGCAAGCTCGTCCTGTCGCTTGCGAATTCAGCGTACAAGGAGAGGGGCCTGGAGAGTGAGTATCTCGTCTTCTTTAGATTGTTAGGGTTTGTTAAACCTTCTTTTTCTGATGTGTTTTATTTTCCGTTTGCAAGCATAATGGGAAAAAGTAAGTGGCGTGAGCTGAAGCACCGCTACAACATTGTCGAGCTCGAGGTTCCCAAGCCTCAAGAGGAGGAGATGTCCCCCCTAAAGGTCAACCGAAAAAGAAAGAGGGGCGACAAAGAGGTCGGGGGGACCTCTGTCCCTCGTGGAGCGGAGGAGGTGACCTCCAAGGCTGCTGACGCCGATGCAGTCGATCTCACTGGGAGCCCTCCGCCTGGGGAGGCTCCCTAAACGGCCGCTATGGCGACTGTCGAGCCATTTGCTCCTTCTGCCGAGGTAAGCGTCTTGTTTTCCTCAAGTTTCTTTCTATGTTGGTTTTGTTTTGTTTATTGAGGTGTTGTCACTCTTTGCAGGCAGGGATAGCTGTCGAGGTGGAGGTCCAGGTTGCTGAGCAGGTCGCCCAGGCCGCCATGGTGAGTACCTCACTTTTCGTTCTTCCCTCTATCTTGTATGTTGTTCTTTTTCTCTTTTTCTTTTTTTTTTGTTTTTGACATGGCAGTGGTTTTTGCTGGCAGGGGACGCTGCTGAGGTCCAGGTACCTTTGAGGTCGGAGGTGCCAGACGTGGACCCCCCTGTTGCCGAGCAAGAGATGCCCGTTTCCGCTTCTGTTAAGGCTCGCGGTAAAGGGACGAGTCTCGAGGTCCCTACAACCACGCCTGCCACCTCGGTGGCGCCGTCAGGTTCATTGCAGGGGCTTCCCGGAGCCAGTACATAGCTCACCGCTTCGGGAAGGGCCTCACCCAGGTGCGACTGGACCATGTGAGTGCTTCGGCAGACATGAACTCGTTGTGGAGCGCTGGGGTGACTGCCGAGAAGTTCTTCCCCCAAGGTTCGTTGACCTCGGATGACCAAGGACTGATCGACGGGGCTGGGCCCGTGGAAAGCTTCGATGCTGCCCAGGTCTTTCTGCAGAGAACTATGGCAATTGTGGACCACTGGAAGCATAAGTGGTCCAACCAGCAGGAGGATCTGGTTAGGTTGAGGAACCGAGTTCAACCTCTGAAGGACGAGAACAAGGTCCTGAAGGAGGAGAACAAGGTGCTGAGCGCCGCCCTCGGTGAGGCGAAGATGCAGGGTGCCGAGCTTCAAGCAGCGAAGGGAGATCTCGCCAGGGTTCAGAAATCGTTGGAGATTGTCCTGCGCTCCAACGAGAATTATGCCTCCCAGGTGGGCGAGCTGCGGGGGCTCGTCGCGTTGTCCCGAGGTCGGGTGCGGAGCTTGGAAGATGAGGTGACGTCTTCCCGGGGCCAGGTTCGCTCTTTGGAGGACGAAGTGACCTTTCTGAGGGGCGAGCTGGTGGTGGCGGCTGAGGAGCGTCTCCGCGACGAGGTCATTCTCGGTGGCAGAGAAGAGGAGATTGTCGCCCTGAGAATGGACCTTTCGAAGCTGGAGGCAGAGAAGGCGGCGCTGGAGAAGAAGCTTGAGGAGACCGAGCGCTTGGTTGTGATTGAGCATAAGAGGGGTTTCCTCAAGGCTACCCGCCAGGCCAGGCTCCTCGCGCCAGGGTTTGACCTTTCCGCCATGCATGTGGAGAAAGTCATCCGCTTCGTGAAGCTTGTCAAGGAAGACGATCTCGAGGATAGCTCCAGCGAGAATGCCTCTGCGTAGGCCAATTTTGACATAGCCTAGTTAAATTTTTTCTGCTTTATTTTTCTGTTTTGAATTCAAGTGTAGAACTCTGGAAACATTGCTTGTATATGTATGTTTTCTTTGTCTATTTGTGTTTGCGCTTTCCTTTGCATTTGCGTTTAGGCTTGATTTTTGCTGTTTGCGCGCTTTGAGACACGCGTTCGATGTTTGTTGTATACTTTTATACTTGGTGATACTTTACCTTGAGTTGATCATGATGAGGTTCGAACTCGACCTCAATTTTTCGTTAAGTAATTTTTTGTGAAGGTTCGAACTCGACCTCGAATTGATCATGCCGAGGTTCGAACTCGACCTTGGATTTTCGTTAAGTAATATTTTGTGAAGGTTCGAATTCGACCTCGAATTGATCATGCCGAGGTTCGAACTCGACCTCGAATTTTCGTTGAGTAATTTTTTGTGAAGGTTTGAATTCGACCTCGAATTGATCATGCCGAGGTTCGAACTCGACCTCGGATTTTCGTTGAGTAATTTTTTGTGAAGGTTCGAATTCGACCTCAAATTGATCATGCCGAGGTTCGAATTCGACCTCGGAATAAAGTAGAGTGAATTGTACGAAGGTTCGAATTCGACCTTGTATTTTTGTCAAGTAACACGTTGTGAAGGTTCGAACTCGACCTTAAATGGGGGCGAAAGAAGTTGGTTCGAACTCGACCTCTATTTAGCGTAAAACATAAAATAATGCGAAAAGGATGTGAATTGAACAGAATGAGTCATTTTATTGATTATGTAAATGTGCTTCGTTAAAAACCCTCTCAGCCAAAACCCATTTTTCTGTTTTTTGGGACAAAAGACTGAGGTGGGAAAAGAGTGCACAACTCATTCGTACAAAATTCAGCTGAAATAAAACTTGAGATGCGTAGCATTCCAAGTTCGCGGTATAGGTTTCCCGCTGAGTTCTTCCAGCCTATACGCTCCATTTTCCAAGTCTTCTACAACTCGGAATGGGCCACCCCAAGTGGGTGCAAGCTTCCCATCTGACGTGTCTTTCCGTGCTTCGTCTAGCAATCGCCACACCAAGTCACCAACTCGGAAAGAGCGAGGTCTCACTCGGGTGTTGTATCTTCGGGAAGCTCGGAGCTTGCAGGCTTCTTCGTGGATTTGAGCTTCGTCTCTAAGCTCGTCAACCAAGTCGAGGTCAGCTGCCAACTCTCGAGCGTTCTACTCGCTGTTGAAAACTTGGCGTCGATGGGACGTCTCTCCGACTTCCACTGGGATCATTGCGTCAGCTCCGTAGGTCAGCCTGTAAGGCGTCTCTTGCGTGGTTGACTGGGGAGTGCAATGATACACCCAGAGGATGCTGGGAAGTTCGTCGGGCCACTGTCCTTTGGCGTTCCCTAGTGAAAAAAACTTGTATGGCGGTACGGATAGTACAGTCGGTAATATTAAATTTTGTTGTAGTGAAAAAAAAGTATATTTCAAAAGTGTTAATGACTTATTTAGAGTTTATTCAAATAAACTTGTCTATAAATATTTATAAGAGAAAAAAAATAATTAACTTCTTCACATGTTAAAATTTACTTATACAAACTGATTTGTAAAAATTCTTTCATGTTAATTTTTTTAGAAAAAACTTATATTCATGAAGGAGGTTATTTTTTTTCTTCTCTAATAAACATTTTTAAAAAAGTTTATTCAAATATTGAGTGAAACACGTGTACAACAAAACAGATACCGTCAAATATCACGCCCCCAAGATTACGCTTCTCTAAATTCCCATTCCGAAACATAAATGAAGTCATGTCTTAAATTAAAAGTAAATAAAAACACTGGAGCACTTGCATTTCAGGGGTAAATGCTATAGTAATAAGAAGGCTCAAACATAAATTGCACATAAAACTGAGTTGACAGGGTACGTCTAAATAATATACTTTTTCTTCTTCTTTTGTGTAGCAATCAAAACAAATCCTGACATGATTCAGTTTATTATATAATTTCAAATGATCAAAACAACACGTTCACGAGATGAACCCATTTTTCTTGAACCAAAAATAAAAAACAAAATCAGTTATAAACTCCAATTAAGGAATGGATGTGAAACAGACCAGATGTTGTGGAAGTTGTTGATGGGATAAAAAAAAAGGCACACTACACATTCAACTTGATTCCAAATTCAACCCACGCATATCAAACGAATCAAAAGTTAATTTGGTCACTCTGCACCATGCCACCATGGCTTGTACTTCGCGCCCAACACTTATCCTTCACACCCTATAATCCTATATAAACGCCCTTAAACTCCAACCACCAACACCAACCAAATCACACTCTCTTGCAAAAGTTGAGAGCTAGATCAGCAGCACATGGCCACCAAATTTGATATGGTCCTCATCTTACTAGCTATAACCACTTCAATATTTGAAGTGAGTATGGCTAACAAGGACTGGTCCTTTGGTTTTAACTACACTGATTGGTGGTCCAGATTTGGGAACCATCAAAATAAGACACAGCAAGAACCAAGGAAGATCATAGTGGGTGGCTCTGAGCATTGGCACTTTGGCTATAACTACACCGATTGGGCTATCAAAAATGGCCCTTTCTACCTCAACGATACTCTAGGTAAGCTTCTACATACATTAACTACGTTGACAATTATTAATGTAATATATAAATATAACATAACATAATATACCACCTTAAGTGAAATGTATATCTATGTGCATATACTTGTGCAGTTTTCAAGTACGATGCTCCAAATGCAACTAGTTTCCCACACAGCGTGTACTTGTTTCCAAACTTTGGGAGCTTCTTGAACTGTGATGTTAAGAAGGCTAAGATGGTAGCGAATCCTAAGCAAGGTGAAGGAGAGGGCTTTGAGTTTGTGTTGAAGAGGTGGCAACCTTACTACTTTGCTTGCGGTGAGAGAAATGGATTCCACTGCAACAATGGAAACATGAAGTTCGCTGTCATGCCAATGTTTCGTCCCTTCTGGCCATGGCCATGAGAAAATTAACGTGAATACAATTATAAAATATATACATAAGAAGTAGCTTGTTCTTGGAAATTATGGCAGCTGCTAAATGTTGTTACAGTTTTTCTTTCTAGTCTTCGATGCATAATGTGATGCAGTTGAAAAGAACTGTTATAAGGTGAATAAATGTGGATGTTGTGTGTTTCACTGTCTCTTTCAGATTATATTATATACGTTGAAAAGCTTGTAAAAGGTTTGCATTTTTTAATTGAAGTTTGTACCAGTCTTGAATCTTGATGATAATGACATAATGTTATCGAAGAAGTTAGCTTCAGCTCGTGTTCATTGACTTTGTTTGGCGCCAAATGACGTTGCATCTATGTCACATTTGGAACATGATCGTGAAACGGCTTTCGTTATGGAAAAGCCCATTAATTAAAAAGTAAGTTTCATCATTTACTTTTTATTTTTTTTAAGGTGAGAAGGAAACAAATGAATTTCAGGATTATAAAATTGAACATACCCTTAATTCACTACTACAAAAACAATATTCTACGTCGGGCTTTCTACATCGGTTATTGAACAACCGATGTAAAAAAAAGGACGATGACATTTTTGTAATTATTTAATCATTTTACATTGGATTTAATGAGAAAGGATGTAAAAATATATTATTCTACATCGGTTAACTAAAGGACCAATATAGTATTGCCACTTTAAAATAGTTTGACACTTACAAAGCCACGATCTTCTCCCTTTCCTAACCTTATTTCCTTCAATGGTGACGGACAAAGGAAATTTCCTCCGCCGCCCTCACGTTGGCGCCGCCCAGCATCAGGTCTCATAGCGCCACCACAGCCTGGAGCAGATTTATCTCCAATCTCTCCCAATCAAGGAGCACCAAATCATCGACACACTCGTTGGCCCCTCCCTCAAGGATGAGGTCATGAAGATCATGCCCGTTCAGAAGCAGACCCGCGCCGGTCAGCAGACGCGCGCCGGTCAGCACACCCGCTTCAAGGCCTTCATTGTCGTCAGCGATAGCAACGACCACGTTGGCCTCGGCGTCAAGTGTAGCAAGGAGGTTGCCACTGCCATCCGCAGCGCCATCATCCTCGCTAAGCTCTTTGTCATCCCCATCAGGAGAGGCTACTAGGGTAACAAGATCGGTAGGCCCCACGCCGTTCCCAACACTGATGCGCGTCGCTGCCACTACGCATCGCAGCGCGGTTCTTCTGGGCACTATATAAGCGGTTTTCTTCCATTCTAGTGTGGATCATCCGAAAAATGGCAACACCAATGTCGATTCATAAAACAGAAGAGGATTGGAGGCTCCTTCTCTCTCGTGACCAGTTTCAGATCCTTCGCCAGAAAACAACTGCGTTTAAGGTCTCAATCTCATTATTTCATCGTTTTTCATATGCAGCTTGCAAGGCTAGAGGCTTCGACTTTAGGGTTCATTTCAAGGTGTTGCATTTAAGGTGTTGCTTGCAATCTTAGTCTAGAAGAAACGCATCTTGGTGTGCTTGGCATACATTACATGGATAAGCAACTAAATGATCGTAGAGCCAAGAACCGATGTAGATTAGGATATAAATCTACATCGGTTTTCAATAGAAGCAATGTAGATTTATGTACTAATCTACATCGGTTCTCAGAACTGCTGTATAAATCTATATTTTTTTTACGTCGCTCTATTCTACATCGGTTTCAGAATATAGATGGCTTCACGGAACCGATGTAGAAAACGTGTTGTAGTAGTGATTGAACACAATAAAGATGTATAAAAATATTATAATGAGTTCTTTATGAAATAATAAAAAGAGGAAATTAATTGTTTTATTAATTCAATAAGAAAAAAATTATCATTTAAAAAAATTCAATGTAAATGAAAAAAAAAATAATGCAGAAAAATAAAGAGAATGAATTCAATTGCGAATATCTAATTGATATTTTTTTTTTAAAAAAATCCTATTTAGTTCTTAAAAGAGGTGACTGAGTTGAAAGATTTTTCTTGAGATCTAGATTGTTAAATTTTAACTTTGATATCTAAGTTAGTTTTTTCATTATACTCAATTACTAACTTTGGTAATCTTATGATTAATCAATAGTTAATTATGAGGTTGACATGTATCTTCTCTCAATTGGCATATAATGGTTACAAACAAAGTAGATTTAGACACATGACATAGTAAAGTTTAACTTTTTAATTTAATTTAAAAATAATTAAAATAACATTTGAATGTCTTATTTCTTCTCAAACACTCCTATATATTATCACTAAGCTTTTCTTCACTTTTATCAAAGAGGTTTTGTGATTAATTAAATATAGCAAAAGTACTCATATTTGATTGACATATCCTTAGATGAAATCTTTCACAACAAACATTCATTTTGCTAAATCCCAAATTCAAAATTTAGGGCTTATAATCCTATACATGTAGCCAAAGTAGACAAAGACATTAAAAATGATTGAGACAAAAAAATTCAATTACAGGAAACCCAACAAAACCAACAACTTTCCATTTTAATTAGAACTCATCATGACCACAATATTTAAATATGATAAAGTATTTATTATTGATTGAAAAGTATCAAAATCTTGTATTATGATCTATATTAAGTGATTAGGAGAGAGAATAATCAATTGAAAGAAAGAGAATAGGTGTCAACATAACGCTTAATGACTGATCGTTTAATAAACTAACAACTAAAGACTAACTCGCATAACAAAATTAAAATTTAGAGACTTAAATATCACAAAAAATCTATCAAGAACCTATCAACCACCTTTACCATTTTTCAAGAACCAAATTGGATATTTATTGAATTTCTTTTGCATCAAATTTTTACTTTTAATTAAGAACTTTACAAAACCTTCTTTTACTTTAATTTAAGGCAGATTGCAAAGTTTTTCTTCTCCCAATTTTAAGGATATCACGAAAATCTCTTTCTATCTCTACCTCAGTTTGATCAAAAGGAAGTTTTTAAAACGTTACTATGTATACTCCCTTTTTTTTTTCCCTTTCTTTTAATTAAGGCTATTTTTTAATCGCAATGTTATAAGCTTAAAATATCCATTGATTTTATTGATAATTAATTTATGTAAAAATAAATAAAAAATCAACCATTTATTTTTAGTTAATTTTTTAATTTTATATATATATATATATATAT